GTTGCAGTCTGAATACTAACGTGGCCCCTCTTAAACACCCACCAGTAATTATAACAAAGCTTAAAAACATACAAGGCTGCATTTCAACCTCCCAGTTTTCCGAGGAGGGAACACTGACTCAGCCCTGAGGGCAGCCAGCAGGAGAGCTGGGCTGCACTGCGAATGGCAGGCCTGCGGAGCCCTGGCCTGGGAAACTGCTCCCACTGGGGCCGGAAGCTCTCTCCTTGGACTCCATCTGAAGCTTCCTGCTCCGAGGCGAAGGCTCCCGAGTTTACAGGAAGGGCTCAGAGCTCTGCGACCAAAGCGTCCCGTGTGTGCACTGGGTGAGCCAGCTCCTCGGCTGGGCCTCTGAGAGCGCGTCCTGTGTCTGCTCCTCCCGGGGCCCCTCTCCTCTGCTCTGCCAGCCCCTGGAGAGCAGGGATGATGTCACAGGGAGGAGAGGAAACACCAGTGAGCACGCTGCCAGACTCCTTCTCAGGAGCCGCTCCTGCAGGAGGCAGTCCGAGGTGAAATGCTCGGCCAAAGGCAGCTGCCAACGCAGCCTCCCATCCCCTCGTCGGGCCACGCCAAGGCGGGCCCCCAGTCTTGGCCAGTGCTCCCTTGTGGGGCTGAACGTGACAGGCGGCACCTCTGGGGCCAGACTTACCCCCTGCGAGGAGAGGGATCTATGAGAGCAGGAGTGAGAGGGGAACACAAAGCAACCCTTCCTTCCACCTTCAGCTGCCATCTCCCGGGGCCTATTGAGCAAAAACATCTCCAGATCATCTGGGAAATAAAGTGTGTGGAAAAGCCCACAGAGGCCAAAGCTGCATTTCCTTCCGAAGGCCGTGTGCTCCCGCCCCACCCGGTAGCTGCCTGGGAAAGTCTCCGAATGCACCCCCTTCCTCCAGAAATCAGCGCAAACCAAAGCTTCCACACAAACACCTCAGAGCACAGGGATGAGTCCTCGGGGTATCTTGAAGCCTTAATGCATCTCAGCTAACTGCTAAGGAACAGCTGCTAAAGCCAAGCCGGCAAGCTGAGGGGGCCTCCCGCAGCCCTGCAGGGCTCGGACCAACCATGGGAGGCCCTGGTCTTACAGAGGGTGGGGAGGGGGCACGGCAGCACATCCAGGGCTCAGGGTTGAATGGTTGAGGGGGATGCGTTACCTGAGGGAGGCCTTGGAGGAGGGGGGGCCCACACACCCATCCATATTGTCATTCCTCCGAAATGCACTCGTAGAGACACACGCCATCACTGGGGCCCAGCAGTGGGGCTGGGGGCGGGACACGCCAGCCTGCATGACCTTCCAACACACAGCAGGCAAACCAGCAGCACAGCTGTGCTTGCTTAGTGACATCGCCAGAGAAGCTGACGCCACACACACACACACACACACACACACACACAGACATGCAAGCTCTTTCAGCTGACGACATTTACGCCACACTCAGACCACACGGTCCACGGGGCCTCTCATGATTATCCAGACGTGCATTCAATGGCTCCACCAACACAGGCTCTTCTCTGGAACCTTCCAGGGAGGCATTCCATCAGGAGCCCATTCGAGCACTGGCTGGATACGTGACTACCAGGCATGATCCGCGGTGCTCGAGAGCAGACTATAACGTGCTGTGGTTTGGAGCCGGAAGGAGGTAGTAGGGAAAACAGGACGAGGACAGAGAGCCCCAGGAGCCCATCTGAAGGTCAGTGCCATGAGTAATGGGCGGGCGGCACAGGGAATGAGGCTGAGAATTCCCACCGGAGCCAGCATGCCGGACGCTTGCAGGCCGGGCTTTAGCGCGCTTGGCTGGTGTGCTGTGCCTGGTACACACTCAGGGAGGAGTCCCGCTTCCCAGGCACCGGGTGTGGGAGGGGTCCTCTGCAGGGTCTGCAGGAAAGAGCTCAATGGGGCCTGGGCTGCAGCAGGGAAAGGCGCCTCCCCGAGGCTGCCAGGGGTGGAGGGCCCAACACCCTGAAGCTCTCCGCTAGCGGGCCTCACACAACCGCCACCAGGAGCCGCCTGTGCCCGGCTGTGAAACGCCTTTTCCCTTTTTTGAAATAAAGAGCAGCACTTTTAGAAAGGGCAGTTGTCTTGCAGCTACTGAAGAAATCTCTTTCCTGTGCTGTTTCCTGGGACAGACGGCCGAGGCCACTCCCAGCGAGCAAGAGGAGGAAGCTGCCAGCTGACCAGGAACAGTTCCGACGGCGATGCAGACTGCTCGCTGGGGTGACAGCTGCGGGGACCTCTCCAGGTGCTCCACACGGGCTGTGGCCGGGCCCTGTGCGCCGGCCTCTCTCCCTCCCTAAATCAGAACCTCCTGGAGGTTCCTGTGACGCGGCGGGAGGAGCGGGAAAAGCCAGCACCAGCGTGGACCTACACTGAGAGGCCCTGCCCGCCACCCGCTGCCACTCGGCAGGAGCCGACGAGGATTCTGCCCTGGCCAGGCCTGAAGCAGAGCCCCGGACCGACTCCCAGCTGCCGTGTCAGTCGTGGCTGGCTCGGGGCTGCCCTCTGTACATTCCCACGCCCCGCCCTCCCCTGCAGGGGCTGTGGGCAGACACTGCCCTGTGCCCACCCTGGTCCTGGCCTCCTGCCTCTTCCTTCAATTCCACGTCGCAGGCCTGGCACTGGGGAGGGTGGACGTCACCTCATTCTAGTCACACAATCCAGGGACACTTTGGCACGTGAACGGGGGAGTAGACATAGGCAGAGGGGGTGGGAAGGCGGGCAGCTGGGGTCTTCTAACCGCTAGTTCTGGGGCAGCGTGGGGTGGCGCTGGGTGCTGCCGATGTCATGCAGGGTCATCAGGTGGGTGACAGCCAGTTGCTGGCCCAGGAGAGCGGTGCCCCCGGTCCTGAGGAGTGCCCTGGGCGGCCGTGGCCTACTCGGCGGCCATCTGCTCGATGTGGTCGCTCAGCAGCTTGTATTGCTCTGGAAGAGAGAACAATGATATTTGGTGGGAGAAATGGTGGCATGGGTAGTCGGGTCCTGCTCTTCTCGCCGAGGCAATGACAAGTCAGGACCGCCTCAGGGACGGTGAGTCCAGGCAGCTGGAGGTGACACAGCCCTCGCCGCCAGCTCGCTGCGGGCCAGGCGCGGACGTGCACCTGGAAATGGGCTCCTTGGCACCAGGAGCCTCTTATGGGAATGATAATACAGAGCGTGGTCCCTCCGGCCCTCCCAGAAGTCTGTGGGAGGCGCAGTGCGGGCAGACTAACTGTCACGGGAGCCACACGGTGGGAGAGGAATGGCGTTCTTGCCCTTTGCTGGTGTGGCGGGCTGGTGACAACATCAGAGATAATCTAGGGATGCCTCTAACACTCTCCCCTCCTGAGGCCACTCTTTTGTAACGCCTTCAGTTTGGTGCAGGATGAAGGTTTTTTTAATTCATGCAGTCATTGGTTGGTGTTTGTATGTGCCCTGATGCGGGATCGAACCCACAACCTTGGCATTTCAGGATGTTGCTCTAACTAACTGAGCTACCTGACCAGAACAGAATGAAGTGTTGTTGTTGTTTTTAAACACACACACACACACACACACACACACACACACACACACACACACATATGCATGAGCGTGAATACACTTACAGGTTTGTAGCAATCACCGCTCACTCACTCAGTGCCTCGATGATGCAGTAGATGTTCTCAGCCAGAGCAGCGGGGTAACTTCTTCCTCCATTTCCCCCTCCAACCCCTTCACAGGGGTCTACTTGTAGACAAGAGCAATGCCTGGGGAAACAACAGAGATTGGCAGTGAAGTGGAAGGCCTGGAGGCCTGGAAGAAATGCTGTTTGTAGCAGGTGGGGTGATGCATGAAGGTGGACACAGTCCTATGTCAGGGGAGCTGACATCAGCAATGGATCCCCTTCTGTTACAGAAACAGAAACTCTAGATAAACCTCAAAACCCCCTCCACCTGCCCCACCCTGTCCGCTCACTGCGGGGGTTTAAGAAACAAAGGGAGGCCGTGTGGTGGCCATTTAGAAGGAGGGGCAACTGGTGGTGAATTTGGCCATTTTCAAGTTCAGAGTCTGAGCGCCCAGGTCCATCTTTTCCCTTGTCCCTGACCTTAAACACTGCACTGGCAGCTCCCCCACGCCTGGCAACCCTGCTGGGCTGCAATGGCTCCCCAACAGCGCGAGCAGTGTCCTGTGCATTGAAGTTGACAGAGACAGAGGAGGGTGACCCAGCGGACAGTTAGCACCGCTTCTCATTGGAACAGGGGCGATGCTTCCAGCAGGTGGGGAGACCGGCCTGCAGAGCGCTGGTCCCTGGAACTGCAGCCCCACCTCTGGCCGCGACTCACCTTCATCCAGGTTGCCGATCACAGCCTGCTTCTTCAGAAAGTCATTGCACAGCTTCTTGTTCAGCCCGAAGGCCAGCATGTTGTGAGTGAATGTGCTGGAGGGAAAGACACCATGAGCTAGCACCCTCCTGCCCCCGGGGAGAGGAACCGGGACCTGCCCTTCCTTCTGGAGGCCCCGCCTGCCGCCTGCCACCTGCCGCCTGCCTGGGATTGTCAGACAGAAGTAAAAATAAATCGGTCCTTGTCAGCCGGCCAACGGCTCCCTGTGGCAGTGCCGCCACAGGTGTGGAGGTGGGAGGCGGGTGATAGGAACTGGAATCCAGGCCGAATGTAATGAGTCACATGCTGCTGAGCTGTCTGAGCCTTCACGCTGGGCTGACCCTGTCACCGCATGGACACTGTGGGTGGGAGAGTCCCCCGCCCCAGCCAGTGTGGGCGTCAGCGATAGCCCTCTGCCCTGCTTCTCTTTCTGTGGGTGACCCGGTGTCACGAGGGCGGGGCTCCGGCCGTGCTCTTACCCCAGCTGCCCGAAGGTGATGTTCTCGTTGAACCGCAGGCTGTCGTCGCGCTCCTCCTGCGTCATGTGGCACCACTTCTCCCTGCAAGCACAGGGGGCAGGAGAGGGCGCTCAGAGCGCCACTGTGCCCAGCCCCTCCCCGCCCTGCTCTGACCTACGGTGTCAGCGGTACCCATGCAGGGCCCCCCCACACAGGAAGCCCACTGCGCTCCCACACTGCCTGAGGGCCCCCCACTTACTAATGTCACCCTTCCTAAGATGAGGAGGGCCCAGAGCTCAGACATTTCCTACCGACGGGAGGGGACGTGTGCGTGGTGGTTGCCTAGGACCTTCTCCAGGAGCTAAGAATGCCGCCCCCTGCCCTGCTCTTTGGTCTGAGGATGGGAGGTCACGGCCCATTTTACGGACAGAGACATGCAGAGGAAAGGACCCTGTGGCGTCCCGTGGGGCGTGGACGTCCAGACCCTGCGAAGAGGCTCTCTGGCCTCTCTGGCTTTGGTGGCTCTGGCCTGCGGGGAGGGGATGGCCTGCTGTGGGTGGCTGTGCCCGAGGCCCAGGGAGCAGGGGGGCTGGAAGGCCCTGCCACCCTTACTGTTGAATCAGGCAGCCTGGGTGCTGCGGTCACTGTCTCCTGTGGCTTCCTCACAGCCGGCGCTGCCTGTCCACACCCTCCTGGGTGCGTGGACCAGACTCAGGTCCTCCCCGCAGGCCCCAGTGAACCGTGAACCGTGCCCACCATGAAGACGGCATAAAGCCTCTAACACGAAGCAAGAAAAGGATGCAGGGAGGGGAGGGTGTTCTTCTGAGCAAATCATGCTATCCCTGCCTGAAAGCTGTCCCCATTGTCTCCCCATGCCCTGTCCCCAGTGGACGGGTGACCACCCCACCCCCACGCTACTCTGCCCCCCCTGTCCCCTGCATCTGAGAAGTGTGCTACTTGCAGGAGGTGCAGATGGTGAGAAGCTCAGTTTAGCCCATTTCCCCCTAAAAATTAAACTCTGGATGATGAGTCTGACTAAAACAAGATTAGGAGAAAGATCAGAGGAAAGGGAGAGAGGAGGCAGTATGAGGGACGAGGGGTTGGGATTATGGAGAAGCCAGAGGAAGAGAAACACCATGAACATTAACACTTCACCCACCCCTCCCAGCCTGGGACTCCGCAGGGGCCGCTGCCGCTCCGCGGGAGGCCCCGGCCCTGGGCATGAAGGAGGCGAGGACACATGCAGCGCCCGTCTCCTCTGCCTCCGACACGACACCCAGGCAGACAGCCAGAACCTGCTCCCAGGTGCTGCACTAACCCCGCCCTCTCTCCCCAGTGGTCTCCTTAGAGCTGTCTAGGCACCCAGATCCCATCCTGCCCCCAGGCCCGCTGGGGATAGGTGTGCAGACTGCAGGCTGAACAGGCCCAGTCCTTTGGAGTCCTGGGGCACAGCAGCCTGACGCCACCCCTCTGGGCCCAGGAGCGGAGGGTTTTCTGTTCGCTGTGACTAGGAGTAGAACTGGGCCCTTTAATCTGACCTCTGAAGAAAGAGGTGCAAGGTGATGCCTACAATCAAATCAATTCCTTTAAGCTGTCCAGTACCAGTCAAGTTCTAAAACTCCCGGTGGGCGGAACATGCATCTAGACTGCAGCAGTGGGAACTTGGAGTGACCAACAGCCTGTAGAATGGGGAGCCTTCTTCAGGAGATGTTTCCATCCGAGAACAGAGAGGACACCAATGGCATGTTAGCCGTTTACAACAAGGAGAAATAACATGGAAGCATCAAGTTGCCCTGGAGTCGGAGCTGACCCTCCTGCCCCCAATCTCAAGCAGCACCTGCCCCTCTTCCAGGTACAGCCTAGGGCACGTTTGGGTGTCAGGGGAAGGTCTGAGATGTGTGTGGTCGGACCACACCTGCTCCAGTGAGAAGGCCTGTAAGGCCCGGAGGCTGGCCTGCTCCCGGGCTGGGTGCTGACCGGCCGGAGGCCACAATGCCCCACCCTCTTGCCGGGCTGAGGCTAAGGAGCCTGCTCTAGGAAGCTGGCTCACCACCTCACCCAGAGAGGCTGTGGGAACGCAGGGGCTTCCTCCTAAAGGAGACGGGTGACGCCTAAATGCCCTTTTTAGAGCCACAGGAAGGCTGCATAAAAAACAAGCTTTCTCATAAAACAATAAGCACCAAAATCATATTACTGATTAAAGTTAGCATGTTTGGGGAAATTTTCATGGGGGGGAGAGAAGTCATTGTATCAGAAATGATATTTTGAATAGGCAGGCCTCTATATTACAAAGGATGTCCAACAAATACAAAGTTCAGTTAGAGTCAGACCCCACTGTGCGCTACCAGGAGAGGACCCCACGCTAGGCCTTTCTCCCGGGGACCCCTCATACACACAGGCTCCGTTAGGCTGGGAGAGAGCGCGGCTGTCCCTTTCCTGTGACTCCCCACCCTGTTACGGCGGTGAGGGTCTGCAGACCCCCGCACACCTGAGTGTGTGACTGAGTGTGTCCCCTGCACCTGCCCAGGGCTTCGGAGCAGGACTCCAGTGTGACACAGTGAAGGTGCGGGGGTGGCTGTGAGGTCGGCCTGGAAGGGGCCAGAGGGGCCGGCGAAAAGCTTGATTTGCTTGAAATCGGAGCTGACTTTCTGGACTTCACTGCTCTCTCCTCTCTGAACTCCCACTGGACCTTCTGGGAGGTCTGGGTGCCATGTTTGTTTCCTATTTTGGGGTGCTCTGTCCTTGGAGAGCTCTCAACCATCACCAGCCAGGCCCCCCAGGGACACCCTCACTGCTGGTAGCCAGTGCTGAGTGACACCTGTGTCTGGGCTCCGGCCACCCCCGCCCACCCTGAGGTGGCCCTGAGGGGACCCAGCACTGTAACATGAACAAAGTCACGTGGACACACACCTCTTCTTCTCCTCCTCTCCAGCATCCCCTCTGGAGCGGCAGCAGAAACAGGTCAACAGAGGAACATGTCAAAGTCATGCAAGATATGTGGATGGAAAAAGAGAACAAGCGGAAGAAGGGGGGTTATTCAGGCAGAAGCAGAGAAGGACAGAGAGAGGCAGCGTATTTGAGATAAATCTGCTTCCTAGGGATTTGAGAGCTAAGCAACCTACGAGCACCTAAGCATTTCCTTCCTTTTCGTTCCCTGGCAAGTGTAGAGTTCTCTCTAGAGTCCTTGGGAAGTGTCAGCGTCTGCCCCCGACCCCCGCGTGCTCCCTCTGCCTCCCCAGGAAACGCAGCCACAGCAGACGGCTGGGGGCACAGGCAGGCCACCTCGCTCCTATTAGGGCTTGGTTGCCACCCAAACAGGTTTCACCTGCAATTCCCCCACGTGCTAGTGGGCTGAAGACTTGAACGGCAGGACCTGCCCTCTCTCCTGCCAGGGACCAAGGTTAAGGGGTCTCCCTGGGGTTAGGGGGAAGGGGATTCATTTTGTTAATGAGCGAGGTTCAGAGGCTTCCAAAGTCCCGATCAGGGAGGCCAACAAGGGCGCCCAGGACTGGGCCGGCTGCTGCCCCTGTCCTGCCCAGCGCTGTGCGCAGTGGGTGGCAACCTTAGCTCACTGTGACCAGAGAGAGAACTGAGCACCAGCCCATGGCAACCTTAGCTCACTGTGACCAGAGAGAGAACTGAGTGCCAACACCTCACTGCCACCACGTGCCACGTGCTTGGTGAAACGGTTCACCCAAGGGGTCTTCGGAAGTGGCGAGACCACCCTCAGGGAAGCTGGGAAGGGCTGCAAACCAGAGGAGCAAGTTGAAAGCAGCAACTGCATTTCTCCAGATGTTCAAGCAAAGTCTGGGGGTGGTGGCCAGCCCTGCACCCCAGCCCTGCAGCAGTGGTTCATGCTCAGGACTCGGACTTCTTACAGAGACCAGACGGAGTGAGCCGAGGGGTCCATTTAGGGGGCGTCCGCATTTCTTAGGAGTTCAGGCTGAATCATGCCAGCCCCAGGACAGGGAGAGCTCATGCAAGTACCCGCCCGCCCCTGGAGTTCTGCTCCGGGGCCTCGGGAGCCTGCAGGCCAAGGCCGGGGGCTGAGGGAGAGAGACCCATGACTCAGCCGTTCTTCCGCTCTCCTCTTCAGAAACAGGGAAAGAACGCGCTCCCGGGTCCTCCTCCCCAGAGCCCCAGCCCACACATTGCTCCTACCTGGTCGTGGGGGACCGCTTCCTCCTCTCACAGTGGACAGCATCGAAAAAGGCTGCGTTCCAGAACCTCAGCGTGTGCCTGCGAAACAGAGACACTCGTCACTTCCCAGCGGTGAGGCCGCTCCCGCCCACTTGAGGGATGGGGAAGCCGTTTCCAGCCACATCCGGATGATGGACAAGTCTCAGGGAGGCAGGGCTGAGATGGGAAGACAACTGAGCCTTAATCCTGAATCAGGTGCCTCCCTGGGCTCCCGGCCAAGCATCATGAGTGCCTGGGTGAAGTGCAGGCAGGGAGGAGGCAGAGCTGGGTAACCCTGGACTCCTCAGGTCCAAGCTGAGGCCACTAGGGGCAGGAGGCCTTTCCCGCTTCTCCATCTCCCACTGAGGCTCCCAAGAGAATGTAGGGGATCAAAGAGGCCTGCTTTTCTAGAGCAGGTGCTAGTAACATAAACGGCAACCTGGCAGGGACAGGCTACGTGCAGAGGGCAAACACGTGTATAGGGACACACAGTAAGAAGCATTCCTCTTGAAGAAGATCAGGGGTCAGCCAACCATGGATTTGGTGGGTGGGCCGAATCCGGCTGCTGCCTGTGTCAATCAGTGTTTATAGGAACATAGCCCCCGCCCACTCGCTTACATATTATCTAACAACAAAGTTGAGTGGCTGCCTGCAAAGCCTAAAATATTCATCACCTGGCCCTTCAGGGCTGTTACCCTATTGCAGGTGATGTGACAGCCCCCAAGTCAAGGCCCAGGGCCTGTGACGGGCTGGTCAGCTTCCACTTCTCCCTGATTCCTCTTGAAAGTGGCCCAACTCAGATGGGGCCTCCCCAGGGAAGTTTCTAGACAGCTCCAGCCCTGCCCTCTGGCTGGGCCCTGGCTTTGTTGTGGCCAAGTTCTCCCACAGCTACACTGTGATCTCTGAGGGAGGGCATGCCTGGTACCTGGGGTTCCAGGTGCTGGTGCATTGCCTGCTGGGAGTAAATAAACACGGTGATGGAGAGGCTGCAGAGGGATTAGCAGCACAAGTGCTCATCCACACAGAGCAAGACGGAGGGCAAGATTTTCCCTGACCGCTGGCCTCTCACTTCAACTGCACCTTTATACATATAAAGTGGCTTTATTGGGGTATAACTCACCTACCATAAATTCACTCCTTTAAGCATGCAATACTTAAGTGGTTTTGGTATATTCACAGAGTGGTACAACCATCACCACTATCTATTTCCAAAATATTCTCATCACCCCATACCCATCAGCAGCCACTCCTCATTCCCCAATGCCCTCAACCCCTGGCAACCACTAATCTACTCTGTCTCCAGGATGTGCCTTCCTGACATCTCATATAAATTACATCACACCATCTGGTCTTTCGGTCTGGCTCCTTTCACTTAGCAAAACCTGTTCCTGGGTCCCCCACGCTAAAGCAGGTACCAGTGCCTCGTTCCTGTACATGGCTGGGTGACATCCGTGGGACGGCTATGTCACTCTGTGTATCCATACAGCAAATGTCCATAGAAATGGACAGCCACACTGTTTCCACCATTAGGCTCGTAGGAAGAATGCTATGTGAAGATACATGCACAAGTTTTTGCCTGAATACCCGTTTTCAATTCTTTTGAGTACATTTCTAGGAGTGAAATTGCCGATCATAGGTAACTCTATGTTTAACCTTCTGAGGAACTGCCAGACTATTTTCTAAAGTGCTTGCCCCATTTGACAATCTCGCCAGCAGTATATGAGGGCTCCAATTTCTCCGCATCCTCACCAACCCTGCTATTGTTCATCTGTTTATCTGTGTGAGTGACCTTCATTTCTGGTGTGACCAGGTATGAGGGGGGCCTTACCAGATGGGCTGCTGCTTCAGGTGCGTGTACAGGTAGATCTTCTCCCCCTTTCTCTCCTCCTCCGGGCTGCACACGGTCACTGCGGGAGGCGGAGGAAGACTGAGCATGGCTCCGGTTGCAAACCCCATGGATGCTGCTGAGGCCACTGCTGCTCCCAGCGGCCACAGGCATGAACATGCACACTTTTGCACAACTGAAACTGCACGACAGCTTTGCCACTGCCCGTGAGCAGTAATGAGGTCCTCACACCTGGCCATGGCTCTTTCTGAGGGAGGAATCCCCAGGAGGCTCCTGCACCCCCAGTGATATTTCCCTGAACATCCAGGATAAGGAGCTTAGTTCCTGCTTCCTCTCCCTAGAGGACTGGCTCCCCTGCGGAAGTTCAGCAAGAAGACAGACCGGAGCTGAGAGGGGCTGGGGAGTCACCGACAGCAGCACCTTGTGCTGGAGGGGCAGTGCCCAGGACAGTTAGGCACCTGCTTGTTGGTGCTGCTAGTTAAAGGGGGGCTGGTGGGAGACTCCCGTGGGGCCTGGGTTACGGGACCAGGTAGAGAGGGAACGGGGGGGGGGCACTCACCAGTCTTCTGCGGCTTGTCCTTGGGCTTGCTCTCCTCCTCCCTGGGGGAGAGGGACCATGGCAGTGACAACACGACCCCCACACTCTCTCAAAGAAACTGTTTTACACGGCTGAACCGGGACTCAGTCTCACAACCAGTATGTACATTTCATGTGGTTTTCTCTAAACCAAATTTCAATTAAACCAATGCTACATTTGTCAGTTGCCAGTCTTTTTGAATTTAGGCTTCTTTGTGTCATTTTCTCTGAATTCAAAACTCTGTGGACCAGAAAAGGGAAAAAGCCAAGTTGTCTGACTGTAATCAAGCCACTGGAGGTGACGGCGGGGACCCCAGGTGGCACAGGCTCCTGGCCCAGAGCTCTCTTGCTGACGCGCCTCTTCCCCTGTGGAAGTGTTCACGCGTGAACAGGGTCCTGAGTGTCTGTGGAAGCTGCTGTCCTGGGGACAGAGGCTTCTCCTGAACCTGCCTCTTCCTTTAAGACAAGCTCTCACCAGTCAGAGGGAGGAGGAAGGAGGGTTTGTAATTTCCCTCCTGCCAACTGACAATGTCCAAGTGCTCCTCATCCATCCAGAAAACACAGACCCACAGGGGACCGCCCTGCATGTTGACAAGCAGAGCACATTGGAAACCCTAGAAAACTCTGGGGGCAGGGAGGCAAGCTGGGCTGGCAGCTGCGCTTCTCCAGCAGCTCCCGGACCCTAAGATCGCCAAGGGTGAACAGACTGTCATTAGCAGGCCAGCAACTCCTCTCACCTCGAACTTAGTCACCTCTGCTGTTTGTCACACCCGCGTGCCTGGCCCTCCCCAGTGAGACAGAGACGCTCAGCAGGCGACACTTACTCGTTTTTCCTGACCAGGGGTCCCAGCCCCCCGAAGAAGCCCTTGACGTTCTCCGTGTTCTTCAGCAGCCGCTCGGCGATGTCCTTCTTCTCCGCTAACCAGCTGTTGGCGGACTTCAAGTAGGAGTCGATGCTCCCTGCAGGCTTCTCCTTGGACTCTGAGGGAAGCAGGTGTGGTTTGCCTGGAGACAGAGGAGAAAGAAAGTGGGAATAAGAACCGTATTGTGCAGCAGCAACAACCAAGGGCGGAAGGAACGCCTGTCAGCTGCTAGAGCCGCTCTGGTATGGCGGGGAGGTCTCCTCCCACACGGCCAGACACGGCAGCAAGAAGCAAACGGCTGAGAGGTGCCCCAGGGAAGACGTCACCTGGGCACCTTCTGTCTCGGGCAGTCACTAAGCACTGACTGTACAAGAAGTCAGCCAGGTGCCACAGGGGCCAAAGAAGAAACAGGCAAGGATCCAGCCCCAAAGCACGCAGCCCGGAAAGGAGGTGAGCAATGCACACAGAGTGAGAGCTCAGTGAAGGCAATGGCAGAGGCCAAGGGCTGGAGGGCAACAGAGGAAGGGCATTTCCTTGTGGTGGGAGGAGGCATGCAGGTTCCAGACAGGCGGATGCACCTGCATGGGGCCTGAAACAGGAGGGCGCTAGATGAGGGAGATGGCCAGAGGAGGGTGTTCTGGGAGGAGGAGTGTGAGTGGAGGCAACACAAGGAATATCCCTTTCTAAGGGCAGTGTATGGACCTTCAGGCCAAGACCCCCCTGCAGGCAAGGCATTCCTTACAGGCCTAAATGCCCCCTATAAGCCACGGTGCCTCCTATAGGCCAAGTCACCCCCTTTTAAGTCAAAACACCCCCCAGGCAAGATGCTCCCTTTAGGTCAAAAGTGACCCCTTCAGGCCCAGGTGCCCCTATAGGCCAAGGCATCCTCTACAGGTCAAAGGGCCCTCTACAGGTCAAGGTACTGAGTATCTCCTAATTTCAGCTGCTCTGTGCACAGGTCTGACGCAGATAAGTAGCATCGAGCTGTTCTATGAGAAGAAGGAGCCACAGGTTGGATGAGGGGTTCCCAGCTGACCCAAAGGCAGCCGACGAGTGGCCCAGCACCAAGAGCCTGCCCAGTGGTGGCCTGGCCGAGCTCAAGCAGTCAGACCAGCCCCTGCCAACAGAACTGAGGGGATGGCTGTTGGGAATGAGAAGGGGACAAAGCCAAATTGCAGAGGACAGGGATACACACAAGATCAACTTGTGGGTCACGCAGAAAAGGTGGGAAGGGAGGCAGCGCTAGCACTGTCCTGACTCAGCTCCAGTCCCCGTGCAGGCCTAGCAATGTCTCCGTACGTGGCCCAAATGAGACGGTTGTAGCAGCTTAAGACAGGGAGCCCTCCAGCTCTGCATACCAGAAAGTCCCAGAGGAATGGGCCAGAAGAGCTGTGACAGCCTCTGCATGAAGCCACCCTGACCCATGCCTGGGAGGGCTTCCCAGCCCAGAATCCAGGCTGCTTCTCTCACCTGCCCGCAACAGCCAAGCCTAAAACTGATGTCCTTACACCCAGCAGCGCCTGTGCCATTGTGAATTGCCCCGCTGAGTGTTTTTCTCACTTCCCAGCAGCTGGGCGGTTTCCTTCACACTGTGGACAGTCAATGGCTTGACCCGCCAGGCAGACCATGTCTCCTCCTGTCTCAGGAATCTCACTCCTCGCCCATTCCCTCCCTGACATCAGCTTTCACTGTCTTCTGGAAGCCGCACAGCTTTGCCTTTGATCAGGAAGAAATCCTCATTTGATGCCAGGTTCGAAGCTGACAAGTCCTGAGTTCCCAAGTCTGCCCTCCACGTGAGCCATGCCCATGGCTTACCGATGTGGTAGTACGTGAAGCACATGGTCATGAGGTTCTTGGCAGGCCCGAAGTCATCCATCTGATGACACCTGAAATGGGAAGCAAGGTTGACTGGCTAAATAATCGTCCCACCGATTTTCTTCCCTCCCTCCCTCCCTCCCTCCCTTCCTTTTTTTTTCTACCCGATCTTTTTACTGCAAGTTCATGAGAAAAGACCGAAATCCTTTACAAAGACACCTAAATTAATACCTCACTCCCCAGATACTACTTAGGAGAGACAACAAAAATAATGCCCCTTGGTCCAGTTACGTGAGTAACGTGAGTTACATTTTTTTTTCATGAGAAGTGAGGATATTTTTTCCATTGATTTTTAGAGAGAGTGGAAGGGAGGAGAGAGGTGAGAGAAAGAGAAAGAGAGAGAGAGAGATGACAGAGACACATTGATTGGTTGCCTCCACATGCACCCTGAGCAGAGGTGGGATCGGTCCTGCAAGCCAGGTATGTGCCCTTGACTAAGAATCAAACCCGAGACCCTCCAGTGTGCAGGCTGATACTCTAACCATTGAGCCACATCAGCCAGAGCTAGTTTAATTTTTAACCTTGAACAAACAATGCTTAAAGAAAAAGTTAATAGAAATGATCTAGACAGTGGGTTTGGGTCATTTTTGTTGCTATTTTAATATAAAAAAATTTAATAAATTTAAAGAACTAAACTACTAATAAAACCATACAGACTAAATAAAAGTAAAAACTAAAGATACTAATAAACTAAAATCATAAAACTCATTATTTCAAAAACTTAATAAATATTTCAAAATACTATGAAGTTTTGTTTTGTTTGTAATCCTACAACAATATATATGCTCACAAAGTAATGGAAAGATTTTGTGTTTTAGCACAGTTGAAACTTGAATTTAATTTTCCCCCTTAATTTTATTTAAGAAAAAATGCAAAGAAAAATTGAGAAGTAGATAAGTATGTTACCATGTGGGACAGGCACAATCTACACCAACTATGGGTTCGTGAAAACTTCTGTAGATGCAAATGTCTGGAAGTTGAAGAATGTTGTGTCTTAGAGCATGGTGCACACGAGACAACATGAGCTCTCAGCTGAGGCGGGGCACACCCAGTTTCCCCCCTGGGGCTATATCCTGAACTTGGGGTGTTCTGGACAAGCGCAGGAAACACAGATCCTCGGCTCTTTTGCTCACTTTCCTCCAGGACATGCCCCATGTTTGTGGCGGAATGATGAGGAGACACCGAGACACAGGGGGATTAAGATTGAAGAGAAGAGCTACATTTCTGTTGTGAGAAGGAAGGGAAGGACAAGATGGGCATGGGGACACAGGGAGGTGGTCATGGTAGAAGCCATGGGACCAGGCCGTGCTTTGAGGCCACATTGAGGTGATGGGGGAAGGATACTAAGTGATTGTCATACCAGCCCCTTCCTTTCCCACCCACAACCTGTGCTGTCCACCGGGATCATTGAAGCCACTGTTCAGCTTCCCCCAGGCCTAAATGTGTCCCTTAGATTCATAATTTGGAGGACACATCACCCGCTCTGATACAAGTCCATGACGTCTGAAGCAGGCCTGGCAGTCCTAGAGCCGTGGGTCCCAGGAGGAGAGCCCACGAGTCCAGGGCCTGCCTCCCACAGCTGCACAGAGGCAGAGGGGCCTTTCCACCCCCACACATACTGTCTACCAACGCCTTTGTGAGAAAGGCCCAGCAGTGCCAAATGCCTACTCAGAGCAGGCTGTGTCACCCAGTCGTATCATTAAGTGGGCGGTTACCTAGCCTGAAGTACTTCACAACAGGAAATCAAGAAAATTCCAGATCTCTGCTGGAGGAGGGTGAGGTCAACTGTGTGTAATCACAGCCTGCCCCGAGGACCCGAGTGAGGGATTTACTCACACCCAGCTGCACCCTCTCGTCTCTACTGCAGGTACGGATTCTCACTAACTCCCTCCCACAGCTGCTGGTCACGACTTCGCCTTTTAGCTGATGCTGGGTGCATCACAGGAGCTGCAAGCTGATGACTCGGCGGCTCTGACTCACAGCCGGGTTATCGTGGGGCAGAGTAGGAAGGGAAGACAAGCTCCTTAGGACAAAGGCTTTGAGCAGCAGCATTACTTACTCGAACAGGACCACCGCAAACGACTGCACGAGGCGGTAGAAGGTCGGCTCTGAGACACACTTGGAATTGCAGCGCTGTTGGGGGGAGGGCAGACACATCATCGGGCAGCCGGGTGGCAGAGGCACAGGGCAGCTCAGAGGGGCTGTGAGCTTACCCTGCTGAGCACCACTCAAGGCAGCTGGGTGAGAGCCCAGGACCATACAGCCTCCCCTGCCCTGAGAAGCCAGGGCCCTGGCAGGTGCTGGCACCCAGCAGAGGACACAGCTCCTCAGAGCACAGGCAAATGTTTTACTGCATCTCCCAGGAACTTCACCCCTCATCCTCATACAAAAGTGTGGAGGGGCAAAACCCCAAATGACAACATCGGCTATTTCTGGATTGTAGGTTTATTAGTAGTTTTTCTATTTGTGCTTACCTGCACTTGCAAATTTCTCTTTGAAGAATAAATTATTTAGGAGAAAAATACTTTAAAAACTAAGATCTTAAACCACTTTATAGAAAAAAAAAGGAACCCACTGGATATTTATAAAACTTAATTCTTTTCTGAACTTACAGGCTGTCATTGTCCTGAATATATCTTTAGAAAAACTGAATATTGTCGGTTAATAAAAATATGCATGGACATAACCCACATGCTTGCCTTTAAAAGATGACCTTTTCTGGACTTTCATGTGGTGGACAGGCCAGCGAGGCACCCAAATGAGCTACATGCCACTCCCCACTATTCTAAATAGGCCTTTCAGAACATCTTGAGATAAGTGTTACTTTTTTTTTTCCTGTTGGGTCATTTCCCTCAACTCCTTTCTCCTGAGTAGAGGAATTAAAAAGAAAGAGGATGCTACATATCACCAGCCCCCTCCCCATCACCGCCCTACCTCTCCCATCACACCTGCTCTTACCTGGGCGCTCACATATCGAGCAAACCACTCCCGGCCTTTTCCACTTTCACTGCTGCAGTACTCCCCAAACTTAGCTTTCTCTTCCTGGTCCAAGTCCTCCCTGAAAAAAAGAGCAGAGGGAAAAACTTTCAATCCTTTGGAACAAAACAGGTTACCGTAGGGTGAAGAGGAAAGAGAGGAACACCAGCTGAGTACAGCTGCCTGAACTCCGTCAGCTCATCTTACCCTCTGGGCAAACCCCTCTCAAGGAAATGGTGTTATTTCTATTTCAAAGGTGAGCAGACTGGCTTGGGGGACCAGGCACAGCTGGGGAGTGAACAGGGGCTCCATCAGACTTCCTGGCTCCAAAGCCCATGTTCCTTCTCCCTGGTCCTCCTGCCTTCAGTTCGGTGGTCCAAGCACTAACAAGGGTGACGTCGACCTCCTCTGAGGGCTTGTTCTCTAGCTCATCTCACTAATCTCCGGTGCTGAAGCCAGTATGGACCCACCCAGTGAATTCAAGGATGCCTCAGCCTCAGCAGGACAAGCATCTGATGCTCCCCCACCCCCCAATCAGAAGGCGGGCGTGGTTGCTAAGCCTCTGAGCTTCTGAAAAGCCAGTCTTCTCACCTCTATCTACTCTGTGTGAGGGGTGGAGACTCGGGGACCGTAGTGGGTCGCCACTCACCACCTCCCGAGTGGACAAAGTGCTCACTGATCTCAAATCACTTCTGATCAGTCTTCATAGGGGCTAATACTCCACCCAAAATTCAATGACTGCAAAAATGAAGTAGGGGCTGAAGATCAATTGGCTTATCCCATATTTCATTTATTTAAGGTTCTGTAGAAAACATCTTGGTCTCATTTATCCCCAAACACCAGATGAAAGACGAGAATTTGCCAGCCATTTGCAGTGATTTCTGGAATGCTCTTGAAAATGCGTTCGATCCAGCTGTCCATGTTCCATGATGCCGACAGGCTGCCGCAAACACAGACCAGCCTTCCCGGCAAACTGACACGCTTCAGGCTTTCTCCCCTGTTCGTTAACTGGGTGTGCTCAGAGAAAGCTGACTAATGTCAGTGTTAGTCAAACAAAAATAAATAGGAAGCCACATCTACTGCTCTCCCAGAATGCATTTAAAAGCAAACATACATGATTTTTAGATAGTCAAATAGATGGATTAGCATTTGAAATTTTCTCTTTTTTAACTGCATAGGAAACTGAGGCACACCTGAGTTTGCCTCCAACGATGCCAGTTTATAAACAAGGGACCTAAATCACGATAGAAAAGAATGTATTCTTTGCAGAGTGTCAACAGCAGGCATCCTTACTGCTTTAATGAAATTGGAAAACTTCCCCTTCGTCCAGAGCTCCTCAGATGTGATGTGTGTGGGCAGTTACACACGTGTGAGGCCTTCTTAGAAGGCAGATCCAGGCCAGTGTGTGTGGGGCAGGGTGCTGCCCAACACTGCATTTCTAAGGAGCAGCCAGTGATGCTGATGCTTTGGGTCCCAGCCTGGCTCAGTGGTTGAGTGTTGACCTATGAACCAGGAGGTCATGGTTTGTTTCCCAGTCAGGGCACATGACCGGGTTGTGGGCTCGATCCCTGGTCAGGAGGGTGCAGGAGGCAGCTGATCAATGAGTCTCTCTCACTATTGATGTTTTCTATCTCTCTGTCTCCCTCTCCTTTCCTCTCTGAAATCAATAAAAATATATTATACTAGAGGGTCCGTGTACAAAATTCTTGCACTCAGGAGGGTCCCTCAGCCCAGCCTGCACCATCTCGCAGTCTGGGAGCCCTCAGTCAGACATCCTTAGCACTGCAGCGGAGGCAGGAAAGGCTACCACCACTGCCGCTGCGCTCGTTAGCTGTGAGTCCAGCTTCTGGCTGAGTGGTGCTCCCCCTGTGGGAGCACACTGACCACCAGAGGGCAGCTCCTGCATTGAGCATCTGCCCCCTGGGAGTCAGTACCCATCATAGAGACCGGTCATTCTGCCATTCAGTCGATTTGCATATTAGCTTTTTATTATATAGGATATATAAAAAAGACATTCTGAGTAGCAAGACTTTCAGCCCTGAATGTGCCTCTGAATGACGTAAGATCTCCAGTCAACACCTGCCAGCCCTGAATTTGGGTTTGTTTGCCTCTCCTGGCCCTTGGTTGAGACAGTAATTGCATGAGGCAGGAGAGCTAGAACCTATCCACAGACTCCCTACTTCTCCTCCATTCTAACTCTCACTCCCACTTCCTGTTGCTCCCCCTGCCATGCTCCTTACCCATCCCTTCAAGAACTGTGAAAGAAAGGCCATCACAAGGAGCATGACTCTGATACCTCCTTGCCTTATATTGCCCCTAAATTTAATGCCAGCTAATAATTGTGGCCCCCTAGCCAAGCATGACTCTGGCAGTTACTGGGAAAGCAAAACTAGTGTCCTTGGATCCAGCAATGGTGAGATGAGGGTGTTGGTGGAGTGGTCAAAGCAGTGGTGGGATCAAAGAAAGGGTGACAATTCCCCACCTAGCTCTATCTGCAGCCGGGGTGGGGCTGTGAACGACTGGGGAGGCCTATCGCTGGCTGGTGAGCGGCTGGGAGCCCTGGCCCAGGTGACGCTCGGCTCAGGGACAGAGCCCAGCGCGGAGAGGCCCCGGGCACTTACCCTCCGGAGAAGATCTTTTCCACGTAGCCACGCATGAACTCCCTGAGCTCCAGGGCCTCCTCGTCCTTGGCCGACTCCGTGCTCTGGTTGGAAGAGAAGGACTCGTTGGAGGAGGAGCGGCGGTACTGGTCCCAGGATGGGTGAGAGGGCGACTCGCCCATGTCGTTCTCGCTATCTGCTGACTCGGTGGTCTCACTCTCCGACCCGCTGTCCCCATCCTGCAGCTTTGGTGGCAGTGCCTCCACGGGTGAGGAGGCGGATGGCTCTGTCTCAAAGTCAATCAGTGAGCCCACGGGGACCTCCGGGGCCTCCATGGCTTGGTGGGCTGCCGAGGAGGATGCCAGCTGGGGAGGTCGGAGGACTGGATTTCCAGGAGTGTCACTGGGAGCTGAAGACTCCAAGGGAACCTGCCAAACACATGTGAGTTGCTTGGCAACTTCTGGCCACCAGGAATGAGTCCTCTGGGGCAGCGGACGTGGCCCTAAGGCATCTAGGATGGAAGCACACACACATGATCAGCAGGAGGGCAGCTCCTTGTGTAAGGGAAATTCAGCACTGAGAATCCAGACTTAAATGAATGAACTACGTTACCCAATTCCCTGTAAAGAGAAGAGGCCCCCAAATTCCAGAATTTGGGACCTCTCTATACTACTGTCATTCTCCTCTTGTCTGCTTTACTGTTAAATACCTGGTGTGTACAGAGTAGGCACTCAATAAGTATTTGTTGAATAAGAGAGCAAATAAATACCATCAGGATTTCTCCAAATAGACTTCAAGAGGGCTGTGTGTGTTGGCCCTCTCTCCACTCCAGACTACCAGACTGAGGACAAGGGATAAAGTCTGACCCAGGCTGGACACCTGCTGCCCCCTGTCACTGGGATCAATAGCTGTGGAAGATGGGTGTTGTCAGGAGTCTCAGGAAAAGAGGTTTCTGCTAAGCACATGGGCCCCTCACCGCCGAGGCTCACATCTCTTCCTTTCTGAGCTCCTTTCCTAGCAATTCTTCCACTCAAGACCCAGAACTTCCCCAGGCTTCAGATATATATCCCTTCTCATCATCCCACTCACACCCTCCAACAATTTTTTTTTCTTTTTTATTGATTTCAGAGAGGAAGGGAGAGGGAGAGTTAGAAACATCAATGACGAGAATCTTTGATTGGCTGCCTCCTGCACGCCCTACACTGGGAATCAAGCCCGCAATGCAAGCATGTGCCCTGACCGGGAATCGAACCATTACCTCCCGGTTCATAGGTAGCTGCTCAATTACTGAGCCACCGCTGGCTGTGCCCCTACGACACTTTCTAACATCACTGGCCATCTGGACCCAATCTCCTCTTTCTCCCTTCTCCCTGCACTACAGCCACCCTGGACAATGACATTTGCCTCTGGTGTCTGTCCTGTTACTCTTCCTCCTCTTCTATCGTCCTCCCTCTTGCCCACCCAGAATTCTATCCATCCCTGGAGGCTTGGCTTAGCTCAGCTCTTCTGATAAGCTTCCCTATTTAACCCTGTTGAGCCCTGGCATTTTACTTACACTCATTTATAATTCTGTCTGTTTGGCAGGTAGGTATTAGCCTGTTTGTTTATCCCACTAAAGTATAACCCCAGGAGGGTGGAGCAGGCCTTAGCCACTGTTGTAGCAACCTGAGTGCCCAGCACAGCCTTGACTAAATAAGTATTCATGTATGTTTGCTGATGATGAAACAACCTGACCATGGACATGCTCTAAGGGTCCAGAGAGTTGGCGACACAGACTATGTAATAGCAGAGCTGGGGACAGAATCTCTGTTTGTAAACTAGGTCTCCTGACAGCCAGTTTGGGAGTCACCTGACAGTTCTGGGGCCCTCCCTTCCCAGTGATGAAGCGGGAAGAAGTCCTCTGGTTGCCAAAGCCCCTCTAGGCAAGAGCACATCCTGAGCCAGGGCCACATCCCTCTCCTCCCTTTTTACCGAGCCAAATGTCTGGGACAACACCTGGCAGACAGAGGTTACTGATATTGATGAACTAATGCATCTTCTGAGGGCAACAAAACTGTATTTACTGCCTGCTAAGAGCTTATCGATTATGGGTTTCTCCAAATTCCCCAGCCCAGGGTACTTTTAAATGCCCTGAGTCAGAAAGATGGAATGGCTGGCTCCTTGTCATCAGAATGGCAACAGCACGCCCTCAGTAGAGTCCTACAAAGTTTGCCTTGGTCCAAAAAAGAGACCCATAAGCCCCAATGCAAGAGAACTTTTGGGGCGAGAAGAGCAACAGGGACTCTTAGGAGCTCAGATCAGAGGGCTGGTGATTCGGGCAACCTGGGCTCCCTTCCCCCAGCCATCTCACTGAGCCGAGGCCTCTGCTCTCTGGGCTGGGTCTCCCCATCTGAGACATGGAGGCCAGGTTAGCTCTCCAAGGTCCTGCTGGCAGTGGTGTTCTCAGAATCTCTGTACAACAGAAAGCCACACCTATTACACACCTACTGTTAAGATGGAAAATCACACTCTAGAAAAATGTTTGCAGTCACTATGATAGGAAAACCGAGTCAATCAATTAATATTATAAATTAACTCAAATCCAACTAAAAAATCTCTATTCTGATAGATACTAAAAAAAAATCTATATTTCAATAGATATGCAAACTACCCAAACAGGTAAGGCACACAAAAGGAAATGCCATTATTAAATGCTTAGACAATTCTTCAACCCATATTAAAACAAGTAGGTACCATCTGATATTATAAAATTAGCAAAAATTTATAATCCAAATGCTGATGAGGTTATGATAAAACTAAATTTTCTAACAACCCTGGTAATAGGGATACTTTAAAAAGCAATTTCTATAATTCTCATTTTTCTCTCCTCTGATCCAGAAATTTAAATGCTCAGAATTTATCCTAAGCAAATAATTCAAAACACTCAAAAATAGTTATGTGAAGAAAAATGCTCACTGCAACAATATTTCTAATCCTGATAAATTGAGGGTAAAATCTAAATATAGTAAAATGGCAAATAAATCTAACAATTTGATGTAATGGTAATTAGTAGATATACAATTAGAAAACAATTAGAACATCAGTGAATGTTCACTTCAAAGTAAACAAAATATTTTACAATCAACAAATAATTATTAATCCTACTGCATGCCACCCTCTATTCCGGGTTCCGAGAATCCTGAGTGAGTGAATTTTAATTTTACTATAATTACAATTATGTATACAAATGGAAAAGACTGGAGAAGAATACAGAAGTGTATTACAGGGCTGGCACAGAGGTAATTTCCCCTTTTTATTTTGTTCTTTACCACAACAATGCAGTATGCAATAAATAAAAATCCACAGGGAAAAGGAAACAAGTGGTCAGAAAGGCTGTGCTATGTACCAGGGCAGAACCCCCACTACACAGGAGGTTCAAGATCAGACCCAATTATCATGGTTATTTCTGGTCCAGCCTGAGGCTCATGAGAAGCTCTCCCAGCACAGGTCTCAGCTAGAAAATCCTGAGAATGAGTCACCCTTTCCCAGGAGCCTCCTCTGTGGGCTCAGGAAGGAGGGGACGAAGAGGCCCCCAATGAGGGCCCAGGCCTGAGCTCCAGGCAGGCACTGGGCTGCAGCACTCGGGCCCCAGGGGCCTGTGCACTGTCATCTCACATGGCAGCCTCGGGCCCCTCAACCCAAGCTGCATGTCTCTCTGGAGAGAAGGCCGGGATGCCAAGCCTGTTCACAGAACTAAGGGCAGGGTGAAGGCAGTTGGTGCTCACGGCCTTGGAAGCCATCCCACCCTCTTCCTCCAGGAAGGAAATGTGATTTCAGGACTCTGTGCAGGACAAGGTGACAGGCACGCTGAGCACACCAGGATCCCACAGCTCAAATGGATTGCCTGTTCTTGGCCATCCAGAGAACACAGAGGAGGTGAGCCCAGTGGAACTGACCGCACTGTCCCTGCTCAGACCTACTGGGTGCTACTATGCAGGACCTCGGGCCCAGTGGTATCAGATCCAAAGAGCTCACCAAACAATGTTGAAATCTACTATGTGAAATCTCCCAATTCTGCAACCTTGGCAACTCATTTAAATTTACTTCAAAACATGTCGTTGGCCAAAGAAAACACATCTGTGCATCAAGCTCCAATCCATTTGCTTTGTTTTATACACACGGAGACTCTCAGACCCACAGTAGATCCAGACTCTGACACTCCAGGTTTTAAATTGTGGCAGAACCTCTGCAGTTTCAGTGTGTGGATATTAAAAATACTTTTCTACAGACTGGAAGCAGGACAAACGTTCCCACAATTGCACTTTTACAACTGATTTCCCAAATCTTATGGCAGAGACTTATGGCAGAAGTCTCTACCAACCAACTTAGGCTAAAATTCCAAGTCAACTTATAACTTCCAATGGCCTTAACCATCTATTCCAGTGATTCTCAACCTTGGCTTCACATCAGAATCACCTGGGAATCTTTTTAAAATCCTGATTTCTGGGCCTCATCCTCCGGAAATGCTGTTTCTTTGTTACTAATGTTGTGGCCCCACCCCATAACAAAGAAACAGAATTCCCGGAGGATGAGGCCCAGAAATCAGGATTTTAAAAAGATTCCCAGGTGATTCTAATGTGCAGCCAAGGTTGAGAACGACTGGTCTAGAG